TGTTTTTAAAAAATGAAGACTTACCAAGTTCTCCTTGCTGGATGTCGAATCGAGAAGCTCCCCCAACCATAAACTGGGGATCTCCAGTGATCTCCTATAACATTTCAAAATTCATAAACACATTTCGAATAGCTATACCTATCAAATGAAATCTTTCAAATGAGAGTTCTCACCCCTGGTCTTCTCCATTCAAATGGTTTGGGTGGGCCTCTGGTGTAGAAAATGGATGAGTCTACAGCAGGGAAATTAGGGTCCTCCCATAGGACACCCTCTGACAAACACTGTGCCTGTATTTTGTGGAAGTCCTGGACCTCTCCTCGCGCTCTGATTCCTGAACCCTTCTCGCCAACCTGAAATCAAGAGGAAAAAAATTGTCTCATTGTGATGGGATTTCATGATCCGCGGATAGGATCAAAAATCTGTAAATTCCCAATGCATCTTATCGCTTTCAGCAGATCTCTCAATAAGGAGATTCTGATGTCAGGGAGAAGGAATGCCTAGACACAACGTCTCACGGTCACGACATGGAGCGTCCAGAAATGAAAAAAATAATGGCCATTGTTTTCATCCCACATTTGCGCAAAGAGCGGGAATTCCCCTTACCGTATGGTCGCATTAATTAAAAATTTGTCTCCTATCGGTGGGCTAGAACGGAGGCCGAGCTCAAGTCCTTCAGACCATGGGGGCCGGAGCCGGGCCTCGCCCACCCGCCGAGTAGTTATGACGTCACGGAGCAGAGGTGAAGTCACCTGCGGAGGGAAACCGCGCGACGCGACCGCGAGCCGCCGGTACAGTACAGTCGCTTCAGCGCAACTGCGCCGACGGCCAGCGGCCATCCCGTCAAGGACGGCCTTAGACGCACCCGACTGTACCAGCCACAACACCACGGCCGCGCTCGCGGGCCGGGGGCCGGGTAGGCGGGCAACAGACCGAGCTAGTCGGCCATTAAGTTCGCACAGGCCAGAAGCCGACGAAAAATTGACTTTCGGCGAGACAGGATGGTACGGGATGGACAGACAGGCGGGCGTGGGGAAAGAGGGAACGACGGACAAACACACAGGACCTCGCGGACGGCGTGGGGCTCCCCGACCACAGCCTCAGCGCGCGGAGCGAATGCGAACGTTTACGCCAAGCCTCATGTCGGCGGATCGGGGAAGGGGAGCTTGAGCGTTGGGCCCCCGGCTCCGCGCTGAGCTATTGCACGTGTGTGCATCCGCCATCCGCCGGCCCATTTGGCACACCGTGCTGCACCACTCTGCACCGCCGCCGCCCCGCTCCATTCAGACCTCGCCTCCACCACGCCACGCCACTGCCACGGTCAAGGTCGCGCTGTGCTCCACTTCCCTCCCGAACCTGTCTCCCTGTGCCCCCGCCGGCCCCGGAGCCCCTTCCCGTTATCAGTGTGTGTCCGCGGCAAACACGGCACACGTCAAAGAGGGCCGCCCCCGTGCCGTCGCCCGCAGCGCAGACCGCGCAGACCCGGGCGGAGCGAGGGCATTCCCCCGCGGCACCCGGCCGGATTGGTCCGAATCGCCTTCTTTCAGAGCTCTCCCCCCCCCCCCCCCCCTGCTTTTCTTACCAAACACATCTCCTCCTTTTCATGGTCTGGAATTAACCTCCACTCAGGTGACCTACAAAGTAAAAGCTCTTGTAATATTTGAGAAATATGCACATTAATGTG